CAGGTGGCAGGCTGAGGGGCGCTGGGTGGCGCTGGGGACATGCAAAGAGCGGGGGGGAGGGGGACGCGCTGCTCCTAATGCTGGTTCTCTTTTTTTTCCCCCCCCTCTAGCTGCGCTGAGTGAGCTCTCCGGCCCCCTGTGTGGAGCATGCATGCAGTGTGTGGATTCTGGAAGGCTTTTTACTTTTTCTTGGTGTATGCAACTCGGTTTTTCTCTCAACTTCTGAGATACAGCTGTGAAAGGGAAGGCAGAGCTTCGTAGATAGGCTTTTGTAGACTAGCCCAGCAACGATGGTAGTGTGCGCTGCATGCCAGCTCTGCCAGTACCTGTAAGGAGTAGTGCTTGCCCTTTCTCATTTTATAATAGTTGTTTTTGTTGGTTATTATTTTTTTTTTTTTAGCAGTAGCAGATTTTGTGCAGACCCTGGCTTCTCCCTCCAGGGGAAATGCTGTGGGCTGCAGAGCCTGCCCTCTCAGTATTTTTTTTTTCTCATTAGCTGTAGCATTTTGCTTTAGTTCTCTTATCGGCCCTGCTCCTGGTGCTGCAGCTGAGCCATGCCGAGTGTCAATTGTCCCCAGGAAGGCCTCAGGCTGTAGAGCGCAGATCACCGGAGGGGGGGAACATCAGGTAGGTCTTAGAGGGGAGCTGGCAGCAAGAGGAAACAACCCTAAAGGAGATAGGGGGTGTCTGGCCAGGGAAGGCTAAAGTAAAGATGCTTCAGTATCAATTGCCATAAACCCATGCTTGCTTAGAAAGTAAAGCTGAACTAGAAATGTAAAGCAAGGGGCGGGGGTAGGTACGAAGCGAATTCTTTCAGGGAACAAAACCTGGATATGCTTGAGGAAAAGTGTTTAGCTTTAGAATATCTTGCTATAAAGGGAAGAAAAAATATCAGCCTTGGATGAGGAATAATACCTGGCATCACTTACTGAGTGTATTGCAGTGACATCTCAGGTTCCACAAACTTGGACTCAGGTGGTTTGGTACACACCTGTAATCACACACAAGGTGGTAAAGGCTGCACCTGTGATCCAGCTGCCTGTGAACTTTTGAAAAGTTGTAAATATTTTGTGGGTTTTTTTAACTTAAATAAAACCATCAGTTCTCATGGCAATACAGCTCTTAAGAACTTTGGTTTCCACCTGGACTTTTTCTTGGTGTTGTCATTTTTTGTGTGTGTGTGTGCAAGTTCTCATGGCATCCCTCTGCTTTGCTACTGCTTATGATGTAGCTGGCAGCAAGAGACACTCTGGTCCTGGCCTTGCATAAGCAAATCTTGTGTAAGTAAAATCACCTTTTTTATTTCTTTTTGTGCTTGAGAAGAAAGGGGGGGGGGGGGGGGGAAGCCCAGAAGTAGTCTATACATTGTTTTTGAAAACTGTACCATTTATTAAAGTGCAACCTGGGGGCATGGTCTTAACAGCAGTGTCCCATTAGCAGAGGGAAAAATGCACATACCCCTTCACTTCAACTGAATAGAGAACAATGAAGCTGGAAAGAACTTTCTTTTAAAGGTGGAAACGCTTTTATTAACCAAATGGCACAAGAAGCTTTAGACAGTTTTCCCCAAGAGGGCTGCACTTGCATATTAAAAGGAACAATATGACCAGTTCCTTGGGTAATGGGTGACTTGAGGATCAGTCAGGGTCTCTTCCCCTCGGCAGGCCTCTTGAGAACAGAATCTGAAAGCTCTGCCTGTCCAGCGCTATCTGCTGCCACCCAGCAGCAGCCCAGGAGAAGATGTCCCCCAACACCCATGCTTCAGTGTCAGTCCCATTACTCTTTGCTACTTAACAAATCAAGTGGCATTCTTTTGGTCTGAGTGGGCTTTAGCTTTACACTCAAATAAAAGCTTATATTGCAAGTTAAAAATGGGGAGAGACCCCCTAAAGGTAGAGCAGTGAGATGCATCCTCCGCAGCTTGTTCTGTCCCAGTCACTCCACAGCGTTCCTTCCCTCCCCCGCAGATACTGCATGGAGATCAAAAGCAGCTTCCACTGGAAGCTAACTGTAGCTCCCCCACTTCTACAGCCCAACCACAGACCTCCAGCTAGGAGGAAGCAAGTCTGCCTACCTAAGAGACCAAGAGAGGGTCAGCCCTAAGTAGAGGAAAAAAAAAAAAAAAATTAGTTAAATAACTTAAGGAGGTGGAGTTGAGGGATGTTGTGTTGTGGTTCCCCTGCATGTAAGGCTGGTGCAGTGCTCGTGCCCCAGCCGGGGCCATGCCTACAATGCCTACCATGCCCCAACCTTGCCTACAGCCGGCCCTGCTGCCTGCAGGCCTGAGCCCCAGCTCTGCCACCACTGGGGTGCCTTAAATTTTACAAACACCCTACAACCTGGTGGTTTTTTTTTTTTTTTTTTTTAAATGGCAATACAGAGCTTGTACCCTGAAGTGCAGATACATCCATGGAGTCAAAGCAATACTGTTCTCATAACCTTCCTGGTGCTGAAATTAAGCAGAGCAAGCCAAATTCAAGTCATGCACATCTTCTGCCTTCAACAGGTACTGGAGATTATGTGCCTCACCTCCCTGGGCTTTACTGGGAAACACTTTTTCCTGTGAGTAACCTGCTGAAGCTATGTGTCTGCTCTCCTTGGAGTAGATATGCATGGATGAGTTGACCTTCAGTACATTTCATGCCTGGAATGAGCTGTTCTAGTGCAGACCTGGGCTCTACCTAGGCAGGGTACCTGGGACTGTGGTCACCCCTTCACCCCCCCATTAATTGCACTTCCAAATTGTGTACCATGAGCTTGCCTCTGGTCCAGTGACTGAGAGACTCTGCTCCCAGAAGCACTGCTACTTTTTTGCCAGACTAACACCATCTACCTTACTAGGGCTTTGCTAGGCCTGCTGTACCACTGTAGCTGAAGGGAAGGTTTATGACCTCAGATTATTTTGTCTGCTACACTCACTAAAATAAAAAAAAACCACTAAACTTCAGAACTTCCCTTATTTAGTACTAGTGAGACTTTTCTTCCTCATTTGTGACCATTAGAAAGCATTGATTAGGTTAAAAAATACAGCCTGCAGCATTAGCCTCGCTGTGCCCAGAGCTACACGAAATGGGAGCAAACAGGATTCTGGCAACAGACCTTGCTTTCAGCCCTCCGCCAGGATGGGAGGTGGGGATATCAACCCCTCACTACCAGGGACGGTGCCTCGCAGTGGTACTTTTGCTCTCTAGAAGGCAGGTTAAGAAAGAAACAACCAGCTGCAAGCACCAGCCCAGCAGGCACATCACCACCAGGCAGACATTAACCTGGTCTCCACAAGCAGGTGCAATACTGAGCAGACACCTTGCTGCTGCCGGGCCTGGCTCCATGCTAGGAGCTGCTGTTCAGAGCATGGCCCAAAGGCTGCAGGAGCGGTGCTCGCGTGGCTCAGGCTTGTGTCATCGTGCCAGCCCCAGTATTTTAGATGGAAGCTATTCTCAGTATTCTTCAGCAGCCAAATTGCCACCCTGAACACCCCTACTCAGTGCCCACCTGGCCCCATGAGCTAAAGTTTTCGAGCTGCCTCGGTGCGGGAGGGACTGGGGAGGCAGGCGTCCACCTGGCTCTTGCCCAGCACGTGGCTGCAACCTGGCATGGGCTTTTATGCCGTGGAGGGAGCCTGGGTTTCAGTCTCTGCTCCCAGCCTCTTCCAGGAATGCTCGCTGAAGACCTTGCCCAGCCTCAACACCCAAGTGAGCACAGCCTAGAGTTAAGCACAACTGAAATTTTAAGTTAAGTTGCACCTTATCTTGAAATCCTTTTACTTGCCAGCTCTTTAAGCATGCTACCCACTGCAAGTTCCTTATGTATTTAACACTTTTTTTTTTTTTTTTTTTTTTTTTTCCAGTCTCGTGCTGTTTTAGCACCTCAGCTTTAGGGTATGCTGCAGAGAAGGATAAAGTGAAGAAAGATTGGGTCTAAGGTAGATATTTTATTACGGTACAGGCCACTCGAGGACAGATATTGAGGCACTTTTGGGAAGGGGATAAGCAACACAAGTGAGAGTAATTCTATACGCCCTTTCGTAAGTATATAGCGACTGCCTTTCCTCTGCCAGCTGCGAGGGAGCCACTACAAAGAGGTCGCATCACACGGTTCGGGGCAAGCGGACCCTACAGTTTAGGATTACTTTAACACACTTGAAGATAAGGGGGGAAAAAAAGCCCTTCTGTTTTCTAATTAATTCACACCCACAACAGAGCAAGCAGCCTGGCACTCAACCCTGTAAGAACGCCGTCATCTGAGCTTACCCGCCCTGTGGTGACTTCCGCAGGGCCTGGCCCAGCTCTGACCATGGGACTCCAAATGAGCGTTCCCAGAGACGCTATAGGATAAATTTTCTAAATGCATGGTCAGTGGGGTGAGGGAGAAGACGGTACAAATTCTTGCTGATGTGTCACATCCGTAAGACCCTAAAATGAGAATAACATAAAGAAGGGACCAACCCAAACACATGGTGGTGCAGCTGATGCGCCATTAAATGTAGCGACACACCAGATACTCCAAGGCTTCTGCCCCACTATGAAAATGCTTCACAAACCAAAAAGTCATTTTTCCTTACTGCTGCTGCCACCTTCTCACAGCCGTGTGTGGAAGAAGAGACTTTTTATTTAATGCCCCACTGGGCTCCATGTGCCAACAAGCTAAAAGGGGGTTCTTCCCCAGCTGGCACGGATTTATTCTCATCTGTCCTGTACCCGTCTGCCACACTGCTATTGAAACAACCATGTACAGAGAAGAGCTGAAAGAACACCTGCCCTCCCCCCCGCCCCCTGTTGGTGCACAAGGTATCCAGAATGTCCAAAAAAAATCCACCTTTGCTACAGGAGAGAATGCAGGTGCTTCTGTGTAACCTGCTGCATGGCTACAGACAGAGGATGCCCCAGATGTAGGCGCCTCATCTTCAGGAAGGAGAGGATGCAGGTCGGGTTAACAAGGGCCCTTCTCCCACAGAGAACATACCCCGAGAAGAAACCAAAGCCGTCAGCGAAGCAGCAGGAGAGGGGCAGGCCCACCCCAACGTACCGGGCAGTAAAGCGGCCCCTTGCCACGTGGGAACAACCAGGTACCCTCACGGACTCTGTCACTGTTGTGATGCGTGAAATGAAGCAGAACTGTAAAACATTTGTGCACATCCGTGACAATAGCAGCGTAACGACACCTCTCCTCTCCACACGGTGCCAGGAGAGGGACCTGCCGTGGTGGGAAGGCAGATGCCAGAGAGTCCGTGGCATGAGGAGGTCCCAGTGACCCGTTCTGGGCACACAACACAGCGATGTCAGCACTAGCAGGGCACCAGGAAATGGAAAAAAAAAAAAAAAAAAAAAAAACATTTTGCAATGTGGTAAAGGGTTTCTTTTTCTGTTAAGGCCAACCTGCTACCCTTTGTACATGGAAAAAGAGCCATCAGAGATCAACAGGGCAGTCCAGAACTCCAGAGCTCCTGCGTTGGGTCCACAGCAGCTGTACATACGTGACAATCCATCCGTTCAGTGTTCAACAACTTCACGCACACACACACGAGTTCAAAACCCAAGAAGTTTTCTAAAAAATCCACTCTCAAAAAAGCTTAAACAAAAAAAATTCCTCAGACTCTGCCAGGTTCTTACTGTCTTCCCAGCATCCTGGGATATGGGTGGGATGGGAAAAATATAGCAAGAATATTGTAAAATAGAGAATGTGCTAAAATCTCTTCATTCTCAGATCACTTAAGAACAGGCTTATTAGGAGACGTGCTCAGGATAAGGTTATTTAGAAATAAAGTACCTTGTCTTTGTGCTTCATGAAGAGTAAGCTTCCTGTAGGCTCGCATTTCAATTTTTACATTATCCTGCGTTCCCTTTCGCCTACCTCCACCTGGTCTAAGCCACAGTGCCAGCACGAACCCGCAGAGATGCGTCAGTAGCTTTGCCAGGAAAGCCTAAGGTCTTGCCCACGGAGCTGCCGTACGGACAAGGACAGAGACACAAACGCGCACCGAAGAGGAACACTCGTGGTTGGGTCCGACGTAACTAATGCGTACGGCAATACTTTAAAGGTTTTTCTCCACACACGTTTGCAGCGCTGAGACTGCAGGAAGAGGGGATTTAGCTTTTGCCAAAGTAACTTCCTCATCATATGTGACCCTGTAGGCTTAGCTAATTACAGATTCAGAGTCGCAAAAGAAATCGCACTGAACACCACAGCGGGGGAGGTCAGGAACAGGCAGAAAGAGGAGATGTTTAATGCTGTTTTGCTCAGTTACCAGAATCCATTGCCCTGTGTATCTGGGATTCTGTCACAGCCAAGACCGAGTTAGGGCTAAATACACTCTGTGCTTAACCTGGGAAAGGCGATACAGGCTGCAGCGTGATGCAGGACAGCATAGCATTGAACCTTTGAATTGCACGGGCGGCATCGGCCTCGCTTCCACCTCATTTTGCCGTAGCTTTGCTGGATGTACCCTGCTATCAGAGGACTGATCAGAGCGGCCCCGTGTCCAGCATGAATTTTGCACCTCTGGTAGCTCAAGGGTGGCAGTAACGCGGGCCGGGCAGGAGCGGAGCAAATGGATTCTCAAACCAGCAAATGGCAGTGTCCCTCCCACCTTCCTGGGCGGCCGAAGCGGCCATCCTGCGCCTCTCCCCCAGGAACACCAGGATGCTCAGAGATAATACAGCTACAGAGAGGCAGCATCTTTACGGGATGGGGCTCCAGTAAATGTTAGGGGCCAAAACGGGCGTGAGCAAAGAGGTAAGAATAAGCACTCTCCCATGGGGGCTTCGGAGGAACCTGCGAGGTTACGAGGAGCAGTGCTGTACCTGAGAGGAAGCCGAGACAAAAGGGAGACCAGCCTCTCGCTACAGGACTCGGGTTGGCTAACGTTGGTTTGGGAGGGCTCGGGGGCGCGACGGGAAGTGACAAGACAGCACAGCTGCAGTAGCGGTCACTCTGAGAAGCCAAAAACTCCAGGGGTCAGCAGCAGCTGGCTCTCCCCTTCCCCTGGGGATTCTCCGTTCCAGTTCCTAGAGTACGAGCACCCCTTTCTTCAGCACCTGCACTTAAGTTCTTAAATTTGCAGAATTTATTATTATTATTTTTTTTTAAAAATACCCCTGTACTTTAATCACGAAAAACCAGTCCCCGCCCCCAATTCTACTAAAAACATGATTGTCCATAGCTGGAGGCTTATTGAACAACCTCACCCCATCACCATTAAGTTACTCAAATGTCCAATTAAACAGCGGGCAGCTCAACCTTTAGGTAACACAACTACAAAAATTGGATCGTGCTCTCTTCCCTCTCCCCCCCGCCTCCTCCTCCTCAAGAGAGCTCCGTTACTTTTTTCTAAGCGCCAGCGCTACTCCGACTGCTACAGCTAATATAGCTACCGCAGCAGCCCCACCGTACAGCAATATAGATTTCCCTTCTGGCAATAAGATAGGCTTCTCCTCTGCGGCGGAGGATTTCTCTTCTATTTCTTCCAAACGGCCCTCTTTCCCCACTTTTTTTTCCCCTGGAAGCAGTATTTTCTCAGGTTCTGGTGCAGCCTTTTCTTCTGATGGGGCTAACTTTGGGACAGGTTTACTTAATACGGGGATTTCAGGTTCAACAAGCTCTTCGGCCACTTTTCCCTTTTCCTCCTGTTTTGTACGCAGAAGTGCGGAGGGATGTGCTTTTTCAACAGCAGCGATTTCAGCTTGAGGTTTTGCTTCCTGTAAAGAAGCAGGGGGTTCTGGATACGCTGCCTGCACGGGCTCTGCAGCGACGGCTGCAGACACCACCGCCTCCTCAATCCCCTCCGGTATCTCTTCCTTCTCCACGTGAACAATATCTGAGTTGGAAGAGTTGTTCTCACTCCTTTCTTCGCCCCCTCCGTTGCTGTCCAGGCTTTTGACTTCTTCAGGATCCATGGCCACTTGCTGCCAGGACTCGGGTCCCAGGGAGACGGGCAGGCTCTCTGTGTGCCAGCTCTGACTCGCTGACAGGGAGACGGGCAGGCTCTCCGACTGCCACGACGTGGTCACCGTGGGGGACTCCGGGGGGCTCACCTGTCCCGAGTTGTCACTGGTCAGGATGTAGATGTCATTACTGTCCTCTGCGATGAGCCCAGGGTACTCTTCCTCTTCGGATTCCAAAGTAAAGACCGTCCCCTACGAAGGAAAAGGAGGACACAACACGTGAGCAACGGCTTCAGCATTACCTCCGCCGTACAGAAAGGAACCGGACACCTGGAAACCTAGTAGGGCTGGAAGAAAGATGAGAGGGCCTCTGCAGGAGCAGCAGGTGTCTGACCCACATTTTAGAAGAGATTACAAAACCCCGGTGGTCCAGCTGGCATTTCCAGCGCATGGAACCACTTAGAAGAGCTTTGCTGGGAGCTCCTCCTTTCCCTGATGTTACTGCATCGCCAGGTACCTCACCAAAACACACCATCTGGGCAGTATGAACCAGAGAACAAGATACCAAAGTCTGAAACCAAACGGAACGAAAACAAAGAAAAAGCAAGCGAACACGAGTACCTGAGCCCAGCTGAACACCAGTCCCACCTCCGTTTTGTGCAAGTGCTCTGTGTTGCTTGTCCGTTTTCATCTAACATGTTTCTCTTACATTAATTTTATCCTATTTCCAGTGCTATCTGGAGCTTCTATTTCTACTTTGTACCAACAAGCTGGAATCTACAGTAATTCTCATATTTTGCTACAAACAAATTTAGCTGTTCTTAAAGGAGTTCAGTTTCTGAGACTGTCACCATAACTTTGGCTATACGACTTAAGTGAAACCAACCAACCAAGCACAGACATCCGAAGATGCTGATGGGGTTTGCCTGGTTTTACTTAGATAGGAGAAGTCTGTAGGCATCCTAAAAATTTCATAGTGTGCTCCAGTTAGAGAAACTGCAAGTGTAAAATACTGACTGATTCCCTCCTTACGGAAAGGACAGCACTGTCGGTCCACGTCATGTGTGGACTGCTGGGTACATAACACAGAAGATATTTGCTCCAAGGGGAAAGAGGAAAAAAAATTAAGTGCAGCAGAAGAACCTAACATGGTTGATACCAAGAACGTAAAAACAAGAGAGAGGGGCAGAGAGGAACCCCAAAGTTTGTTATGCCACAAAATAGAAGTCTGTGAAACCATTAACAAAGATTCAATTACTTTTTTGCTCTTAACAAAAATTGTCTGAACATTTTATCAAGTACTGCAGTGCTGGGCGTCCCTTCTGTGCAAATTCCTCATTCAGTTATCAAGCTTTCCTGTACAGCCCCATCATTACATGAAGAAAAAAAAGATTTTAAATCCATTCGTTCTCTTTCTTCCTGCTCCCTTCTGCACACAATAGCTCTCCTAAAGCACTCCAAGCAGTTGTCCCCCTCCCTTTTAAACCCTTCCCGACACCTGTGAATTTGGGGGTTGGTCCTGCTCCAGTGTCCTAACGATGGTTTCCCATTCCCATTCTGAGACACCTCCTCGGTTGCTCCACAACTTTTTACAGATTCACGCAGTGGTCTGTGTCAGGAACTGATCCAAGTTAAAAATGAACACATTCTTTATTTTGCCGAGTTGTTTTTAACCCTGATCAGTGTCCAGTCTGGCCCACTGAGATGCCCCAGAGGACGCGTGCGACCAGGGGTGGAGCAGGGCCAGCAGCTGCACCAGCTTGCACTGATGCCCAAAGAGCTGAGTCGATACCAGTGCCCGGCTTAGAGAGCAGAAGGAAAATGCGTTTCGGCTTTGGTAGCTCCCCATTATCACTTAGTTCCTAATACGCAAGGAGTTCAGGGCCTACAAGTCAATGGTTTCTCGCAGAGGTCATAGCGCCTGGGCCAGCAGCGATCCACTCTTCTCTCAGGGAAGCACAAGAGGCCCGGGCTCTCCACAGACAGGGATGTGCTCTCTCCAGAGACACCAGACACACTGCAACTCCTCCCTTCCCTGGAAGGGGGAAGGATCTATACACACACAAAAACACCCACCAAAAAAATGAAAAGCAAGTTGGCAGGCACAGGAGAGCAGCAACACTTTCATCTTTCACGGTGGAAATTATTACCGCATCAATAAACTTTGTGAAAAGGGGTCAGTGGAGCCTGAGTTGAGTATAGGAGTGAGGTTTCTCTATCCGCTCCCCCAAAATGCCTTCCCATTTTGCAAAACCCGATGGACACATTCCTGGAGGCTTTTGTACAATTGTGGAGGCTGTAGTATCGGGCAGCACCAGGAACGTAAGGATTTCATAATGTATTTTGGCAGGGATGGAATGTAAATGTCATCTTCTCAGCCCACGGAATTTTGGAAGATATTTGTGCATGAGCAAAGGAATCTTGTAGAACACGTCAAAAGGAACTTTTCTTCTTTTAAATTGCTTGGATGTGGGAAACATCATCCAGCTTGGTAACTTGTTCAGAAATTCTGATAATAAAAAGATAAATGATGCACAGAGTTCCTCAGGGGAAGGGCTAAAAGCAACCAAGCTGCTTAAGGATCACCACAAAGGCTTGATTCGGAATGAAATGAAAATTAATAAAGCATTACATTTGTGAAATGTTCAGCTACCACACACAGGCCAACAAACCCAAAGCAAGCTCTGTTCTGCGAGCAGTGACTGACAGTTCAAGACTCCAGCACCCTCATGTTTCACTAGAGGGACTAAATTTTTTTTTTAAATGCAGCTCAGGCCATTAAAACAAAACTGAGCTCTACAACCTCGGAGGAAGCAACCAGCATTCCAAAATAAGGGCAATGGAAAAGAAGAGCCAAGAAACTTAAGTAAAGGCAGAGGTTACCAGATCCAAAGAGACCACATTATGCTTCTACAGGCTTGTGAGCTCTGGCGATTGCAGCAAGCTTCTTTTCCATAATAAACTAAAGAAAGCACCAACGAGGGCCATATTCAGATGGCCTAAATTCCCCTGAAGTTGTATGCTGTACCGTGGCGAAAGCCAAGTGCCTCTGAGCAGCGACTCAGCAGCCCACAGTGGGGAGGAGAGACCCAGCCATAGTCAACGGGGACAATCGAGCACAGACTGTGGTGAAATTTAAGGCATCCTAGTACTTCTCAAGACGTATTCCTCCAGCCTCTGCTTCTGCTCTATTCCTGACCCACCACTCTTAACTCTTCCCTTTCCTCTCATAAGGAAAATCAAAGCTGTTCAACAGAGGGAACCCACAGGTGATTTGACCATGACAAAAATGAAGTAATACAGACAAAGTACTACCACAGCTACCATGTGGGCCAGTAGCTGCCCCGGCCCAGCAAAACATCTTAGCTCAGTATGATGTAATATCAGATCATCAGCAGGTTAACAAAGAGAGGGAGAGGCAACATTGACGTACAGGGATCGGGCATTAGTTATTCTAGTTATTCCCACATACCAGGGCACTTCTTAAAGGCCACGCGCTTTGCTGGAGCACTTTCACTGGAGATACGCCTCTCGCAACGTACAGGGAAGGTCTGGGCACGTGCTGAGGGTAAGGTGCAGGATAAACTGCTTCGGAGAGGGTAAGGAAATGACGGGATGGTAATACGGGGAACACGCGCAATCTGCAACATTTCAAATATTTCATCAATATGTGCACCAACCACACACCCATCCTGCCTTCAAGGGGAGGGAGGGCCTAACAGGCTCAAGCATTTTATTGTTCCTTCTCCCACGCAGGCTGCGCTGACCTCAAAAGTTATCAGTCACTGGATCCCTATAAATCAGCCTTACAAAGCCTGGCCGATTCCTTTCTGTCTTTACAGACAATTTAACTTCCATGTCAGTGCCTTGGGGACACAACTCCCCAAGCCTGAAGAGACAGATCGCCCAAGGTTGAGAAACCTGGGGGAAAGCTGACACGCTAAGTGTCAATGGGTAATTTCACTACTTTTTCATTAACAGCTTATGAAGTTTTAAATTAAAAGCCAGACAGTAATAGGCATTATTTAGGATACATGATTAATATTTCTTGAGCTGAATTAAGAGTTAACTCAGGAAGTCAAGAGGATGAAGCTAGGATTTTGTGCCGATTCGGTTGAGGTTTGCACTTTTTTGTCATTTGGGTTTGTTTTTTCTTTTAAAACAGCTGCAATAAAAACTTCGTGACATTTAGGACAATTCTCTTGATTCATCTACAGATGTGACCCAGAAGCAAAGCTCCCACAGGCAGATTAATTCAGGACAGGATGGAACATGTGGAAGGATTTTTAATAACCCTCAGGCCTTATATAAGCCCTACTCTTTAGATTTAGCAGTAAATAAGGCATGTATGTAAGCATTTCTTTATCTGCTTTGTTTACTGTAAACGCATAGTCTACTGCTCCAGACCAGACCAGAGTTCCTCTTTTTCAAATTTGGGATGGGAGACTTGCAAACGTAGAGTTCTTTTCCTCATCCAGCATGACTTACAGAACCACGTCACGTATGTCTAGAGAAGCAAGAGTTAAGTCCCTCACCGCAGCACCCTGCCGCTCCTGATCCCAACCCCTGCCACTTGAGGGAAGAGTTGGCGCAAGTTAAGGAGAACTGGGTAGTTCCCTTCTTGGCTAGAACACAACAAGGATGGTCCACAGCACATGAGACAGTCTTGAGATCACCTTAATTCTGTCATGGTAGCATTTGCAGACCTCAAAAAGGAGCTCCAGAAGTCAATCACTGCCCTCAGCCTATGGGGTTTGACTTGCAAAAATCTTCCACAAGGCTTCTGCAAGTGACAGAAAGCACTTTTTAATAAATGTGCTAGACTAGCCCTCAGGATAGCTGTTATGCTACAGGGTGAGCTACACTAGACAAGTGTAAACTGGTAACAAAATAATGAAAAAAATATCTGAAAGCTCCTCCAATAAGTAGAACCCCTCCGTTTGGATTCAGTCCTGCCAGTGTCGGGAATCTGAACTTTGCTGAAAATCACTCTCAGCAGTGGATTCAGAACACTACCAACCTTTAACATACAGTAGGAAATTGCTACTTAAAAACACCTGCCAAGTTTCAATTATGATTTAAAGACAGCAAACATAACAACAACAACAAAAAAAAAAGACTTGGAAACTGACTCTCATGATGACTATACTGTTTTTCATAGTTTTCTAATAGGTCTGTTATTAATTGTATACAAACAAGCTGACTTACTGACTATAGTAGTTATTGTTGCTAAAGGGCAAAAACTTGAACTA